ATTTTTCTTTGCCAGTTAACTCACTTGTTGAGGGTGACAGCTGCAGCCAATTTCATTTCACTGACAAACATACGGGCACTCACGCTGGCCTCCTGTCAAGGCAATGGTGGTTCATTTCAGATGGTTTTCTAAAACCACAAAGACAATTTAAAATCATATCAGCTGGGTAACTTACCAAGTTCAGGACAAAAAGAGGCGACAGAGTAGAGTTGGGCTGGATGGCAAAGGCCGTCACTGTGGTGGTGGCCTGGACTGTTGCGTTGTTGGGCTCAAAGGTCAGTGTGGGGGTTTTCACTGTCTTCACCAGCAGCTTCATCATCAGACCTGGGAACTGCTTAGCAATCTGGCAAAGAAAGAAGAAATTCAGATGACAAGCTACCAAACATTTATATTTTAAATATACCAAATTGTGTTGTCACCTGTGGGATAAAGGCTCCAAACGTTTTGGTGTTGAGTCGGATTGGAGAGCTTTTTGGTATCTGGCACGACAAAGTGAGAAAGGTTGGAGATCAGTTTGATGCCCTGAAAAGAAGGTATGAGACTCAGGAGGCAGCAGTTTACCATGTCGTCAGTGATGGACAGGCTGAGGACTCCAGCATTGTTGTAGACGAAGGCTGCAGAGTTGACAGTAAAGGCAGACATGCCGATGTACAACATGTTGTTGTTCTGGGGTGGCAGGTAAAAGGCCGCTGGTGAGAACGGAGGCTCCTGATGTTTCCCGATGTTGTAAAATTCCCCCTGAGAAAGAAGACCCAGAAAACAATGCTCCAGATTTTTAAAAAATAATAAAATGATATCTTTAGATTCCTGTAAAAATGTAGTGTTGCATAATTCTTTACCTTCAAGCTCAGATCTATCGAGGACTTTAAAACAGTCGGTGATGATACCATGGAATATTCAATCTCTGCATACTTGTCCACCTTGGCTAAGACTGCATAGAGACAGAAGCTCACTCATGTGTTCATCACCAGTGAAACAGCTGATTGAGTAACTAAACAGGATACTTTACCATTGAGAGTTTTCAGCTGAGGGTTTAAATCAGATACTGCATCAGCCACCAGGGGGCAGATCTGCAACAGCAAGTAGTGAAAAGAAGAACCTTATTTTCAGGAAGAAATCTGGAGACAGTGATTTGTATCGAAGAAAGTCATCATTAAAGGCTCACAGCGGCATTTCAAAATTAAACCTTAATTAATCAATGTACATGAGCAACAGTGAAGCTTGGCACATCTGTAGATGCACCTTTTATATTATCTATTGATTTTACTTCAGAGTAAAAGATAATGTGAGACACTGTGCACTAGCTGACACTTCTGGTCAGTTGCATGAGCTGGATTTCTGCTGCAAGTAGCTGATTTGCTCTCACCTGTTTCTGGAGTGCATTGCGCAGAGCCTTATTAATAAATGTTGTGAAGAGATTGTACAGCCAGCTAACAAAAGACAAACAAAAACAATAACAGCAGGATTTAGAGAAATTCTGCCATTTGTCAAGAAAATGAAGTAAAATAGTAAAACCCTTCTCCCTCACAGCTGGGTTTCTCACCTCGCTCCACCATGAAACTTGACCTTTGCACTTCCAACAGTGGCTGAGCAGCTGTCACTGCTGACCGCTGGTCGGCCTGTCTCGTCACTCTTGATGGAGATGGTTGTAGCGATACTGAGACCATTCACATCCAAATCAAAAGACCCGCTGTCCTTTCTAGTAAAATAAAAAGGATATCAGATATTATATTTTTAAGCAACCAAATTATTTTCCCTATAGAAGAGATGTTACCTCACTCACATTATTCGCAGGTACTTGACCCTCCAGTTTCCATTCAGACTGATGAAGGCATCACCTATAGACAGTGTGACTCCAGTCCCTGGCACCAGATCCACTGAAGACTTTGGTAAGCCCACATTAACTATGTGCATACTGGAGGAATTAATGTGTTTTTGTTAAAGAAGGATAAGGAGAAAATAACAGTTTGCTACAGAATCTAAACACATGCAAAAGAAAAAAAATCTGGTGGCTTACTTTGACAAACTATACTGAACCTTTCCAATCGGAGACACCTTCTCTGTCCCAGAAAAGTCTGGAATTTTGATTGATCCGAGTTTCTGCTGGATGGCAGCCATGCCCAGTTGCCTGCCTAAGAAAAATCAAAGAAAAAAGAATCTGATGAACAAATCCTGGATAAATCAGTGCTTTTCTAAAAATGAAGCATTTTTACACAAACCTTACCATATTCAATGCCCTTTTCTGTCAGCCTGACCTTTACTCCAGGATTGGTGCTTAAGGTTGTGGGGATGAGAGCCACCAGACCCAACCAACAGCACAGGAACATCTCAGCAGCTGGAAAAGAAGGACAAGAACATCAGCAAAATTCCTGTTCATGCAAGAGCAACAGAAGACAGAGCAGTATTGTGAAGAAAGATTGGAAAGAAAGAAATTAAAGGAGATGTACAAATACAACATTACTGAAATACTATGCAGTGGAGGAGAAGTATAAAGGGGTTTATTTCATGCTTCATTGAAAGAGCTAACAGTCATTGCTTCACATGAAACCACATGTCCCCTGAGAGGTCAGCAGGGTGAGCTTGAGCTATATCAAACTTGGCTGATTGTCAGGGCATAAAGATGGTCCACCATCTTTACCAGCACTGCGTGTTTCAAGCTAGATGTGCATACAGCTTTAAACCAGAGCAGCTACATGCTTTTTGTCTACAGCGTGTCATTCTCCCCACTAAACCAAAATAAAGCTGACCGTTTCTAACTCATACTTCACTCGTGCTGCTGACTTTGCTTGAACTTTAGTACACTGCATGTGTGGATGGCAGATCTGGAATCTGTGCAAGTCTAATGATAATGATAATGTGATGTAAAGTGTGACTGTCTGAAGAATGTGTGTTGCTTTTGTTGTTTTATTGAAGATCATTCGGTTTTTACAGCCCACACTAGAAACCAAAACCTTTCTTTATACCCAGTGAAAAAAAAGCATCCTCAATGTTGTCAGTTTGGCTCAAGTATGTTTCATGTTTCATCTGAATGCAGATCTCAGTGTTTTCAACACTCAGAGATGGTGCACTCAATACAAACCACATCTGTCTTAACCTGAGTTGCAACACTAGTTTGCTCAACTGATAACAAGTCTTTACAAGTCAAACCTTATAACAACAACCAAAGCACACTGAGAGACTAAATATAACTTATTTTGCAGTAGAGTAGCCACGTACCCTTTCAGATTTTACCCTTTGAGAGATTTGTGTTAACTGCCTGCACCATCTGTGTTGAGATTAAGCATTACAACTCAGAAAACATTGCTGCCATATACATTTAACCCACACTCACTCTTACCTGAAGCAACAGTTCGTCCGGAAGACGTAGCTTGCCCTTTCTCAGACGATGTGCCAGCGTAGCCAAAGAGTCAGACTGAAAGAGGAAGAGAATCACATGCGCTCTAATTCACTTACTTAATCAGGAACTGAGCTTCTCAAAGAAACTCACCCAGCAACAATAAGCAAACATGCCGTTTGCAATGTCCCTTTATTGAATTTCATTCTACTTCCTTATCATTTCTTCACAAAAGACTAACAGTGTAGAAGTTAAAGATTATCAGAGATTTTAAAGACAGACTAAGTCAACTACTGTAAAGCTTGGTATTGTTTGAAGAACTTTATGTCCTTGAAAGTTTGTCCTCTTGTTTTGCAGGTATGTCTGTGTTTTAGTTCCTTGCATGAATTTACAGTAAGTACCACACAAGAACCAGGCACAACTCAACTTCCCACTTCCTCATCTCAGTTTTTCAAAGAATTTTTGAATGTGTTCAGCTGCCAGGCCGGCTTTTTAAAGAGACAAAGGCTGCTTTCCACTCCATCCTTGTGGACTCAGTATCAGTTATCAGTCCCTTGAATGAATTTCAAGCATTCAAATGGACTCAAAGATGAACTTGGTGGATTTTGGTCTCTTTATTAAAGTCAGTGGGATCTCACACAACACAATTTTGGCTATAACTAAAGTATTATTGTGCTTATTGTGACTGTCATAACCTTTTAACTCTCCATGCTATCAAAAAATGCTCTTCAAATTGCTGCTCTGAGTAGATAACCACATGTGTTTTTACTGTACTTTTACTGTAAATGCACGTTTCGACTTTCTTAAAAAAAACAATAGAACAGAAGAAGAGACCAGGAAATGGTTCCTCAGTGAAAATCCAGTGTGATAACCACACAACCAAAAAGTTTACTATATCATATTGTTTGGTCATGATGTGCATCAATATTTTCTTTGTCATTTAAAAACCACTGAAATTGCTTCCTGCTTTTTGAATTGCTGTTTATGTTTAGAATACAAAGTCATCACACAGCAGCTGGTCAGTAACTGCGGTTATTGTCTGAAAACAGGAAGCCTTTCACTGAAAACTGACACAATTGTGTAAAACCTTTACAGTGGGAAGAAAACACTCTGCTTGCTGCTGATTGGTGGAGGTACAAAAAAGCAAGGTGGCATCCAGTCAGACCTGTTTTGGTCCACACAAACCAGCGGCTAGTATTAGACACAATGATTCGTGTATAATACAGGTCATTAAGTGTATGTAAACCACAAAGGGGGAAATTACATTCTAAGCAGTGTTTACTGCTGTTTTATGGAGCATCAAAGCAATGTGGACATCACTTACAATCTGAACAGTACTGAACTTTTACACAGTGAGAAATCTGAGGCAGCATGAAGAGGTAAAAAATAGCAGCGGGCCATGGGGTTAAAGTCTGAGAGAATCGAATTATTGTGCTGACAGGACAAAAAGCATGTTGGGTGGATTATTAGTTTACAGCATTCCTCCCACAGTGCCTACAACTGCAACACACGAAGTAAAGAGGTGGTAGGAAATACAGTCACATGAAGAGCTTTGGTCATGTGACACACATTCTGAAGGAATTGTTGTCATTTTTCTTAAAGTTCACCACCTACAGCTGGATAGCAGATGGCCCCGCCCCTCCCTGAGCCTGGTTCTGCAGGAGGTTTCTTCCTGTTAAAAGGGAGTTTTTCCTTCCCACTGTCACCAAAGCGCTTGCTCATAGGGGGTCATATGATTTTGAGGTTTTTCTCTGTATGCACTAATGTAAGTTCTAGCTTACAATATAAAGCGCCTAGAAGTGACTGTGATTTGTGATTTGGCCCTGTATAAATTAAACTGAATTGAATTGATTTTAAACCGCTGCTTGTAGACAAAAACATTTCCTTTATTCCAACCTGAAACTTTATGTCATCAGCAAATACTTGGATGATTAGATAATGAATATGAATTTAATTCAGATCTAAATTGCTGGGCAAGCTCTGTGTTAGACCCGTATTGTGTTTCTCATGTATTGTTTTGTGAAGACATCTGCATTTAAATGGAGTGGCTATAATTAGTGTGGCAACACTACAGCTTACAGAGGACCAGCTCCAACCTGAGGACCACCCCTATATATGGAACCAACATGGCTCATTTGCTTCTCTTTGATTCAATCAGCCACAGCAGAGATAATTGAGACTTGTAGTTGTTCTGTGTCTAGCAAGAGAGAACAAGTAAGCAGCACTGTTCTGCCTTTTGTTTTCTTTAACTGTTTTCACGGACCAGGGAGGCAAGCCCATGTTTTTTGGTTTGTTATTTTCAGCCAGGTCATCTGATCTGGTATTGATGCACAGCTCTGTTTGTTGGTTGTTCTGACTTTGGCTCACCCTGAGGATTCTCTACTTCTGAATTTGTGAGTCTGCTGAATAATAAATACGACACTTTTTTTTCCTCTTCTCTGTGGCTTCTCGGGGAAGTGGATGCTTTTGTTTTCATGCCATGTCTTGTCGTTGTGCTAAAATGTGATTTCCCCTGTTTCCTCCTTTATAAAGGGCGGGCCTATAATCTGTAAAATATGCATCAGACATAGCTCAACAAATCATATCAAGTCATTTTTATCCATAAACAGCATTCCTATCATAAATTTATATATAACCCCTTAATGTAATATATTTACCAATTTATCAAAGACGTTACACATAATTATTACACAAAAACATTGGAAATCACTTTTTTGCATAACATCGGCCGCTAGACGGGATGTAACACACGGTTGCTCAATATGCAACAGACTACAGTTAAAACCACAAACCCTCAATGAAACTCTGTGTATATGACCCCTTAGAAGGGTTCAAGCAAGGAGCTTAGATTAGTACGCACTGCTAGCATAAAAAAGCATCAGTTTTTATAACTGTAGTGAAACAACTCGTTATTACTACAGGAGACAGTTTAACTGCTCTAAATGCTTTTGGCACAGTCACAGCTGCTCTGCAGAAATTGCTCCTGTCACTGGTTTGTGTGCAGAATTTCACTGTTATTCCTGAACTCAAAGGTGAGGTGACAAAAAAATCAAACTTCTAGTAACTGCTTTTGTCCACTTGGTGGTAGCAGAAACTTGTTTTACACACCTTTAAGTTGTTGCCTTTGGGAGCGTTTGCCACCTGCCACCTATGCCACCTATTTTTGCTCCCTACCAACTTCCTGAGGAAATATTTGGCTCTTTATCTGCTAAATGCACTACGTTCACAAGCTAGACACACAACCGTTTCTTTCTACTGTTTGATGTTTAGTGTAAGTACCATTCAGTGGCTTTTAAGACTTTTTAGACTAAAAACATCAGGATAGACTGAAGCTAAAGTGAAACCTCACTGTAAAAACAGAAAAGGAATGTAGAGTTGTTCCGCTATGTTCAACATGAGCTACTAGATAATCTCTGAGATAAAAACAAATAACACATTTTCATTAGTGGCATGATGTCTTTAAAATGGATTCAAAACTTTGCTTCATCTTGATTTTTTCCTAATTCCTAAACTGACCCTGATACAATGTTTCTCCTTTTCTGAGAGGCCATTGGACAGTCAGTGTAGAACATCCCTTCATACAGGTGTGGTGTAATTCAGAGTGCTTTAAGTTCTCAAAACAGGTGTAAGGTAACAGAAGACTGATGCACTCAAGAAATATGGAGCTAATCAAATCCATCCATCTTCTTTAACTCAGGGTCACAGGAAGCTGGAACCTATCCCTGCTGCCATATGGTGGGAGACAGGTTGCCAGTTTGTGAAAGGGCTTAAAGACAGACAACCAGTCACACCTACGGACAGTTAAAGTTAGCACTTAACTTGCACTCAGGACCTTCTCGCTGTGAGGCGACAGTGCTAACCACTGTGCCAAGTACTCTCCTGAAATAGCAAGATGATTGAAAACATATTACCTGAAGATACAAGGAGCAGTGGCAGTGAAGACAGGTGAATTTAAATACCTGGGATCGACCGTCCAAAGCAACAGACAGAAGAGAGTGCAGGCAGGGTGAAGTGGGTGGGAGAGGAGTGTCAAGGGTGATTTGTTACAGAAGGGTAGCGAGAAGAGTGAAGGTGAAGGTTTACAAGATGGTAGTGAGAGCTGCTCTGATGTGTGGTTTGGAGACGGCAGCACTGACAAAGAGACAGGAGGTGGATCTGGAGGCAGATTATCTGCTGTGGTGACCCTCAAAGGCAGCAGCTAATAGAAAAGCCCATAAACATTGCAATCAAAAGCACAGTCATGCATGTTTTCAAGGAGAGGCTGACAGGACAGGCTTGCTATTTCAGGAGACGCTGACACTGCTGTTGCTGAGACTTCCTGAACTGGAGTGACATCTTGTGGTCACAAGTATATATAACATACACATTACTTTATATGTGGTTCTCAAAGGGGGATCCCTCAGACAACCTCGGGATTGTGATTTAATAACATTAACATTTACAATGTTTACATGCTGTTTATGGATAAACCCAGTCTTCACGTTTGGAGAACTGCTTCTGTGATTACCCATGTTGCTGCCTCTATTAATCAAGCTAATTACACAACATCTAATGTAATTGCAACACTCCAGGTCCAGTCTGCAGCTCAATGAAAGCAAACACATGAAAAACAAGCTCCGACGAGCTTTTAGTTTCACACTATCACGCACGCTGCATTCGGAGCCTGGTATGAAGTAGGTTAATTTGCAGCCAGCAGGGGTGCCTCGAGGTCTTGCTTGGGGATTTAAGAGATCACACACTTCATGCTCTGTTGTCCTTGTCCAAAAAAAAGAGAGAAAAAAGCCCTTTCAGTGTTGCAGTGTGTGACGAATCAACACTGGCACATGGACAATAAGGTCTTTTGTTTCATGGAGGATGAAAAGTAGACAAAATGTTTCTGTCAAACTCAGTAATTCTCTTTAGTTTTTGTGACATGAATTAGCCTAATTACTGGATGAAAGATTAATGGGTAAGTTGATTGAATGCTGGCTGAACGCCTGTAGCAACTGTTGCTGAGGCTCTTATTATTTAAACCTGCTCTGTGACTCAAACCGAGTGAGTGATGCCTGCACAGCACCCAGAGGTAAGCCCACATAAATGCTTCTCCTTGCCGTTGCTGATTTGACATCTCTGTGTAGGCACGCAGAGACTGCGCCTGACTG